AAAAAAAAAAAAAAAAAAAAAAAAAAAAGATACAGAACTGCAGAATGGATAAGAACTCACCACCAAGTCTCTGTGGCTTGTCTCTCAGGAGACTCAACTAACACATAAGGACTCACATAAACACAAAGTAAAGGAATGGAAAAAGGAATTTCATGCAAATGGACACCAAAAGTGAGCAGAGACAGCTATTCTTGTATCAGACAAAAAAACTTTAAAGCAACAGCAGTGAAAAGAGACAAAGAGGGACATTATATAATGGTAAAAGGCCTTGTCCAACAGGAAAATATCACAATTCTAGACATATATGCACCTAACACTGGAACCCCTAAATTTATAAAACAATTGCTAATAGACCTAAGAAATTAGATAGACAGCAGCACAATAATAGGGTTGACTACAACACTCCACTGACAGCACTAGACAAGCAAGACAGAAAGTCAACAAAGAAACAATGGATTTAAACTATACTTTGGAACAAATGGACTTAACAGATATATACAGAACATTTCAGCCAATGACTGCAGAATACACATTCTATTTAACAGCACATGAAACTTTCTTGAAGATGGACTATATGATAGGCCACAAAATGATCCTCAATAAATTTAAGAAAATTGAAATTATATCAAGCACTCTCTCAGACCACAGTGGAATAAAACTGGAAATCAACTCCAAAAGGGACCTTCAAAGCCATGCGAAAACATGGAAGTTAAATAACCTGCTCCAGAATGATCGTTGGGTCAAAAACGCAATCAAGATGGAAATTAAAAAATTCTTTGAACTGAATGACAATAGTGACACAAGCTATCAAAACCTCTGGAATACAGCAAAGGAAGTGCTAAGAGGAAAGTTCATAGCCCTAATCGCCTACATCAAAAAGACTGAAAGAGCACAAACTGACATTGTAGGGTAAAAATCAAAGAACTAGAGAAACAAGAACAAACCAAACCAAACCCAGCAGAAGAAATGAGATAAGATTGGAGCAGAACTAAATGAAATTCAAGCAAACCAACAGAAAATATAAAAGATAAATGAAACAAAAAGCTGGTTCTTTGAAAAGATAAATAAGATTGATAGATCATTAGCACGATTAACCAAGAAAGAAGACAGAAAATCCAAATAACCTCATTAACAAATGAAACGGGAGATATTGCAGCTGACACCACTGAAATACAAAAGATCATTCAAGGCTGCTATGAACATCTTTACACACACAATCTAGAAAACCTAGCCAAGATGAATAAATTCCTGGAAAAAGACAACCCTTTAAATCAGGAAGAATTAGATACCTTGAACAGACTAACAATAAGCAGCAAGATTGAAACAGTAATTAAAAAATTACCAACCAAAAAAAGTCCAGACAAGACTGAGTCACAGTAGAATTCTACCAAATTCTTTCGACACTTTTTCACAAGATAGAGAAAAAGGGAACCCTCCCTAATTCAATTTATGAAGCCAGCAACACCCTAATGCCAAAACCAGGAAAGAATACAACCAAAAAAGAAAACTACAGACTGATATCCTCATGAACATAAATGCTAACATCCTTAACAAAATGCTAGAGAACCAAATCCAACAACATAACAAAAAGATAATCCACCATGATCAAGTGAGTTGCATAATAGGGATGCAGGGATGGTTAACATATGCAAGTCAATAAATGTAATACACGACATAAACAGAATTAAAAACAAAATCATGTTATCATCTCAATAGATGTAGAAAAAGCATTTGACAAAATCCAGCATCCCTGTATGATTAAAACTCTCAGCAAAATCGGCATATAAGGGACATATCTCAATGTAATAAAAGCCATCTATGACAAACCCACAGTTAACATAATACTGAATGGGGAAAGGCTGAAAGCATTCCCTTTGAGAACTGGAACACGACAAGAATCTCCACTCTCACCACTCCTCTTCAGTACAGTACTGGAAGTCCTAAACAGAGCAATCAGACAAGAGAAAGAATCCAAATCAGTAAAGAGGAAGTCAAACTGTCACTGTTTGCTGATGATATGATCATTTACCTTGAAAATCCTCGAGACTTGTCTAGAAAGACCCTAGAACTGATAAAAGAATTCAGCAAGGTTTCCAGATACAAGATTAACGTATACAAATAAGTAACTCTTCTATACACCAACAGCGACCAAGTGGAGAGTCAAATCAAGAACTGAACCACCTTTACCATAGCCGCCAAAGAATAAAATACCTAGGAATATACCTAACCAAGGAGGCGAAAGACCTCTCCAAGGAAAACAATAAACCACTGCTGAAAGAAATCAGAGATGACACAAACAAATGGAAACACATCCCATGCTCATGGACGGGTAAAATCAATGTTGTGAAAATGATCATACTGTCCAAAAAAATCTACAAATTCAATGCAATCCCCATCAAAATACAACCATCATTCTTTACAGAATTAGAAAAAAAATTCTGAAATTCATATGGAACCAAAGAAAAGCCCACATAGACAAAGCAAGACTAAGCAAAAAGAACAAATCTGGAGGCATCACACTACCTGGTTTCAAGCTATACTATAAGGCTACAGTCACCAAAACAGCATGGTACCGGTATAAACATAAACACATAGACCAGTGGAACAGAAAAGAGAACCCAGAAATAAACCCAAATACTTACAGCCAACTGATCTTCGACAAGGCAAACAAAAACATAAGATGGGGAAAGGACACCCTTTCCAACAATTGGTTCTAGGATAATTGGCTAGCCACATGCAGGAGAATGAAACTGGATCCTCATCTCTCACCTTATATAAAAATCAACTCAAGTGGGATTAAGGACTTAAATCTAAGACCTAAAACTACAAAAACTCCAGAAGATAACATTGGGAAAACCCTTCTGGACATTGGTTTAGGCAAGGAATTCATGACCAAGGACCCAAAAGCAACTGCTATAAAAACAAAGATAAATAGCTGGGACTTAATTAAACTAAAGAGCTTTTGCACGGCAAAAAGAACAGTCAGCAGAATAAACAGACAACACACAGAGTGGGAGAAAATCTTCACAATCTGTGCATCTGACAAAGGACTAATGTCCAGAATCTACAACAAACTCAAACAAATCAGTAAGAAAAAACAGACAATCTCATAAAAAAGTAGGCTAAGAGCATGAATAGATAATTCTCAAAAGAAGATATGCAAATGGACAACAAACATATGAAAAAATGCTCAACATCACTGATAATCAGGAAAATGCAAATCAAAACCACAATGCAATACTGCCTTACTCCTGCAAGGGCCATAACCAAAGAAATAAAAAAAAAAAACAGTAGATGCTCATGTGGATGCAGTGTCAGGGACCACTTCTACACTGTTGGAATGTAAACTAGCACAGCCAGTAGGGAAAACAGTGTGGAGATTCCTTAAAGAACCAAAAGTAGAACTGCCATTTGATCCAGCAATTCCACTACTGGGTATCTACCCAGTGGAAAAGAAGTCATTATACAAAAAAGATACTTGCACACGCATGTTTACAGCAGCACAGTTTGCAATTGCAAAATTGTGGAACCAACCCAAATGCCCATCAGTCAATGAGTAGATAAAGAAACTGTGTACAACGGAACACTACTCAGTCATAAAAAGGAATGAATTAATGGCATTTGCAGTGATCTAGATGAGAATGGAGACTATTATCCTAAGTGAAGTAACTCAGGAATGGAAAAGCAAACACCGTATGTTTTTACTGATATGTGGGAGCTAAGCTATGAGCACACAAAGGCATAAGAATGATACAATGGACTTTGGGGACTTGGGGAGAAGGATAGGGGTGGTGAGGGATAAAAGACTACAAATGGGGTGCAGTGTATACTGCTTGGGTGATGGGTGCACCAAAATCTTACAAAGCATGACTAAAGAACTTACTCATGCAACCAAACACCACCTATACCTCAATAACCTATGGAAAATAAAAAATAATTTAAAAAAGAACAGCTTAGCCCAGTCATCACATGGAACCATGAGAAATAATAAATTATGCTTCAAGCAAAAATTGATTATAAAATTGGTTTGGCTTGTTTGGTTGAGTAAAAAAAAACTGAGCATATATATCTGATGAAATAGCTTCTAGAATTAAAACTAGCTATAAATATAAAAATTATGTAGATTTTAGAAAACTATATACATGTAGAATCTGATAACATTTTGCTATTTCCTGATAGACTAATTTGCATCTCAGATAAGAAGGTAAGGAGGAGATGGAGACAGAAACATAATTTCATAGTTTGAAATTATGAAAAAGCCATGCATTGTATTGGAGGCCAACTATTATACTGAGCCATTGTCAGGAATTAGAAATATTTGGATTCTGTATGTCCGACGGCTGGTTTGTAAGTGACAGAGTCTCAATCTTGGTTTTACAATATTCCAAAGTTTTAAAAATTCTTCTGGGAGTATTGTGAAATTTCCAAAATACCAACCATGTTTTAGTTTTTCATGAAATATGTCATTTGTGGGAAAAGAAGTCTTTTAATTGTGAGATTAGGTATCTTCTGCTCTCGAAGGTTGGAGATTGGCAGATTATGCCACCTTCTTACATGATAATGATTAAAACTGGAAGGGTTTTTTCTTCTTAATTCTAGTAGATGTGACGGGTTTTTAATATACCTTTAAAAGGAGGTTTTGCTAGCTTTTGGTTGCCTGAGGAGGGGGATAATGCATAGTGTGATTTCCTGCCTTGGCCAGCAGAGGCCTCCATGTGCCTCTTGAAGTCAAGTTTTCCTGGATTCAGGAAGGAATGTGAGACCAATGCGTTGCCTGTCAAGGACAGCAGGGATCACGTGTGAGGGCAGCACGTTTCTGAGACTCCATTCCAGGATTTTAGCAGATGCGCCTGTACTGAGGCTACCTGCTCTGTGTCAGGCAGAAGACAGGGACTAAACAGAAATTCCTTGTAACACACAGCTAACATTATAGTCACTTTTGTATTTGGGCGAGGCCTCCCTGCAACTCCTGTCAAAGGCACTTCAGTTCTGGGGTGGCTGCAATTTTGAAGTGTGCACAGATAAGTTATTTCAAAGAATCTACAGTTAGCCTTGTGATCTGCCAAGAGGAAGTAGCTGAAGGGACAATGTGCTAGTTCTGAGGCTAGGATTTAAGAGGCAGGCCCTGTGCATGTTGTCTGTTAGGAGGCCAGGATGAGACTGTAAGAGGGATGTGAGCAACTTATAGCCATCAACTCAGTGGCTCCAGCTAACAAGCAGCAGACCCCAAGAGCAGTGAACCCACTGCTGAGCCACCTAGCAGATGCATGAGCATGCTTAACCAAAATTAGCTGAACCTAGCTGGTTAGAGGACAACTGCTCTGTAGATCTCTTGACAAGGGATCAGTAATAAATAGCTATTATTATTATTTTTTATTATACTTCAAGTTCTGGCATACATGTGCAGAACGTGCAGGTTTGTTACATACGTATACACATGCCATGGTGGTTTGCTGTACCCAACAACCCATCATCTATATTATGTATTTCTCCTAATGCTAACCCTCCCCTAGCCCCAAACTCTCTGACAGTCCCCAGTGTGTGATATTCTCCTCCTTGTATCCATACGTTCTCTCTGTTCAACACCCACTTATGAGTGAGAATATGCGGTGTTTGGTTTTCTGTTGCTGTGTTAGTTTGCTGAGAAATGATGGTTTCCAGCTTCATCCACATCCCTGCAAAGGACATAAACTTATGCTTTTTTATGGATGCATAGTGTCTCATGGTATATATGTGCCATGTTTTCTTTATCCAGTCTATCATTGATGGGTATTTGGGTTAAACAGCTATTATTTTTAAGCTACTAAATTTGAGGTGGTTCGTTATAAACTAGCAAAATAATATACTCTAATTATAATCATAGCAGTCATAAAGCTATTACTGATGCTTATTTCAAGATGAACACTACATTAACAAAATATTTTAACAATAATGTGAGACATAATATTTCATCAATCATGAAGTGATTACTGATACTTATTTCAATATGATTACTATTACATTAGCACAATATTTTAACAATAATATAAGATTCATATGGTCTACTTTGGAAATAATTACTAAATTTTTCTTTATGCTTGGTAGAATTAGTAGAAGACAATGACTCCTCCTATGATATTAACACCTCTCTACCAACCTACTATATTTTTATAAGAAATGTACTTCAGGACAGAAAGTGTTAACTCACAGTCCTTCTGCAATGCACTCCAGTAAAAGCACATTTCCTCTTAATTCCTCTTGGTTACTTGCATTGCCTTCTGGAGTTAAAAATGTTGGTGGCCTCTCTCTATTTGATTTAGCTGCAAACAAGAAAATCAATATACATTACAACTTATAAATATGCATTTCTATAAACACAGTTCATTATCAAAAAGCTATCTAAAATTCTAATCCCTTTTTAAGCTATTTAATATTAATTGTGAAATTTGATAAGCTACAAATACATACTCTCTGCCTTATAACTAGTCATAACTCACTCAGTTACCCAGAAACAGAAACAATTTTGGTTGCATAAGCACTAATAATAAGGACTGTTTTTCTTTTGTGTATTTCCTTAATTTGGGTTAGGTTTTTACAAATTTTCTGTGGGTTATAAAATTTTCAAAATGTTGACATGGAGAGGAAAATCATGTTATCAAACTATATTTCCTTCAGGATTAGTGCTTAGGTCAAAGCAAAAATTAACTGTCTATTTTCTGGAAAATGTCAGGTTTTATAAAGATATGCTTATAGAAGGGGTATCCTGGTTTACAGTGGGAACAATATTATAGCCAATATCACTGATTAATCATATTAAGATCCCCAAACTGCAACGTTTATGGAAAACAAAAAGTAGAGAGTTACTGACAGAGGTCTTGCAAATATTATGCCACAAATTAAGAATAATGTTGGCATTAAATAAATGGAAATCATTTTTCTCAATGAAAAAATAAAGAGGGTCCAAGTCAAAGATCTTAGGGATGGTTATACAGGCCATCTTCTTTTTATGGCAGCCTTTCCAAAAGGTGGCCTTATCTTCTGAAGGCTTCTTAGGAAAACTTGAAGCAGAAAGTACATAATCGTAAGTAAGGCTTTTTAACCCTTGAAGCTTTTCAGCTCTTTAATGCATTATCTACTTGATGCTTATAAAAACAGAATGAAAACGTAATATGATATGAATTATTCTTATTTCTAAGAAAAAAATCCAATGCCAGAAGAGGTTTTACTTGAGAGAAATTAGTTTTCCTAAGAATGTAGAGATTGTGCAGGTAAACTTACTCCTCTAAAATCACTTTGGGAATGGTCTTGGGGCCCATATTTTCAGGAGTATATTCAAATAAAATAAAATAAAGTAGC